GGTGTGAGGTGTGGTGGGGGGGTGGTGTGTGAGTGTGTGTGTGTGTGTGTGTGTGTGTGTGTGTGTGTGTGTGTGTGTGTGTGTGCGTGCGTGTGTGATTGCATGCCTGATTTTTGAATGTTAAAATGTGAACGCCCCAACACTGCCTCCTCGATCAAATGCCCCCTTATCATCTGTACCCTTGCCCCAAAACTTACCTGCTCCCCTAATCTTGTGATCTTTGAATCACCCGTTGTAAACTGCCTCCTCTCTTATTGCTACATTACTCTACCCAAATCTTTATTTTTGGCAGGACCCCCAGATGAGATTCTAGGTTCTAAAAGCTACTTTATGATCGGATGATTAAAAGTGGTTCAAATGGCCTCCGTCCAGACATCTACTTCAAGCAAGTGCTCGTAGATTTTCATTGCCAGACCCTTAACAAGGGGATCATTTGTTTGATTGTAAAAGACGTTATTGTCCTAATTAGTAGGAGCAGCGCAGCATTCCGAGAAGCACATTTGTTGTGTTATTTTTATTAATCAGGCTTTTACAAATGATTGCATCTTCATCCGCCATGTGTTTGCAGTAAATCGGTTCTATTGCATAGCGCAGCAAAATGACAATAACATCCTTTGTAACACTTAAAGATAACAGTCATTGGCTGGCGTACAAGTTCATACTCTTGACGTGTGGATTCTGGTGATCTAAATAGGCTCTGGTGTTCAGCCCAGTGGCAGCAAAAAAACTACAACACAATGGCAAGGAAGCACATTTCCTGTTCTCTGTATTGAGAAGTGATTGTGTTCTACAGGAAAGTACTTTCCTTCTAATAGTTCCCCTGTGTACAAATTTTCATTTGTAAATGAACTCGGGGTAAAATCCATGTTCTGGACAATATTTACTTCTCGGTAGCTTCTCATCAATCACTGTGTATTTCGGTTAAAACCCCTCAATGAGGGCAGGATTTACATACATCTCAAGTGCCTGTGCCAATTTAGTGTCGATATCAGAATGTTTGTATGTACTCGTCAAGCGACATTTATCTAAAGTCAGTCGCCTCTGTCATAGCTAAACCATTAAAAATAAAAACCGATAGCATTGTCTGTTAGCACTAATGCACAAGATGAATGACTATACAACAGGGTGGCCTCTGTGACTTGCGGCCCTAATGGTGCTAAGGATGTTTCACCGATTGTTGCACTGTGTATTCGGTTGGTGGACTCATTAACATAAACACCATGTCAAAACACAAATATTAAGCTCCATACACAAAGGTCTGATACAGTATGCTGCCAGAAAAGTGTCAGATTTAAAGCCTTGCAGTGTAACGGACGGCATTTATCCCTCGTTTACTGCGGGGGTTAATTTCAGGAGATTTAAATCTATTTTCATGCTTCGGGGATACAGTACCAAAATAAACACATGAGACGCAGGTATTATTTTTGTCCACTTGGGGCCGCCATTTTCACGTTCTGCACTGTAGTAGCCGTGACATTGATTGCGTGTGTGACTTCAAAAGGTGGGTCTGGTCTGTTGAGTGATGTGAAAGTGAGCGAATGAGAAGGTGGGGTTGGCTAGCTGTTAACTGGCTCAACCGCTCTGCATGATGAGTGGCGGCTTCAATTGAGGCCAACCATCAAGGCAATAATTCATGTGTCCCCTTGGGTCCGGGTCTCAGACTATGAGAATAATTTAAAAATATTTTTTTGGGGGGGGACCACGGTTTTGTATGGATTGTATTTAATACCTGTTTCTATGCTGGTCCACTGAAAAATGATTTTCTATGAACATTTTCTCTAGGTAGCACTTTAGTGCTACCTACAGAAATGTAGGGGTGTTAAGTAATTTTCTAAGAGCGTGTTTGAAAGCATGACCATATATTCCATTGCCTCTATTTTGATGCATTACAACTCCCTGCCATTATTGTTTGGCCTTGGCAGAGGTCTGCCCAGTGCTCTTGTTGCTCAACATTTATGCGGTTTCAGATCTCGTTTTCATGGAAACCGTCTGAAAAATTGATTATGTGTAAACTGAACTACTTTCTTCTTCTTCTTTTATAAATTCCACTGTGGTTTACCAGCCACTAACACCGTGTTCAATGTAGTTTGTCTGAAAGACTAAAATCAGCAGATTCCAAGCAACGGCCTTGCTGGAGGGAAGGGACGGCTTACCAATTGGGACTAGGCTAGTTGAGGAACAGTGGCGGTGTCGAATGTAAAACGACCCGAATGGAAAAGCAGCCGCATGCCAACATCAATAAAGGCAGCGCTGCAACAGATCCATCCAGCTATTGTTCACCGAGACGAATTCAGGAACCAAACGTGTGCGGCCCATTTCTGCAAAAAGGAAGCAAACCTCACATCTCCCAACAAGCAGAATACTTGCCGCGTGTGTATTTTTTTTTTTTTTTCTTAACTCGGCATTCATTTTAAAGCAAACGAGCAGAAAAAGGAACACTGTGGTTTTCATTCCCTACAGATTTTTTTTTTCTTTTTTCACAATTTCATATGACAACAGCTGTCAGCAGCAGTTGTCTGCCGCTGTCGAGAATGTCACCCGTCTTTGAACGCGGCTCTATAGCTTTAGGTGCTCGCTTCCGCGAGCGAGGAGAATGAAAAGCGGCCGGTCGGGTCAGTCATTTGAAATCACTTAAACCGGCAGCAAGGCTGTCAAGCGCTGTTGTCACACTTGATGTCACAGAGTAAAGTGTGTTGTCGCAGGCAAAGAGAGATGCAAGTGCAGACGGAAACAGATCACTTGGTGACGGGTTACTAATCTTTTGCACTTTTCCTCAGGGAAGTGGCAAAAAAAAAAACAAACAAAAAAAAAAAGATGCTTTTCCACCAGTTGCCAACCTTGTACACAAAGGAGTCTCCTCCTCGAGGTTCCATTCAATTCAATGGGAACAAATGATTTGAGATAAAAGTGGTTCAAATCAAACTTGTATCTTGAGGCACCACCGCAGCTATTTTCTGTAGCTTTTTACAGATTTTTATCACTTTGCACCATACACATTACAAAAAAAATAAAATTAAGGCTCGATAGCGAGGACCCCCCCTTGTCAAAATTTGGTCATTTTCATATCTTGCCACAAATTCAAAGCAAGATGCTTTCCAAATGTTTTTGCAACTGTTGTTTTTCTGTGGATTTCCCAAATACTCTGCGAATGACACACAATCATTTTGAAGTTTCAAATAGGTTTGTGACCACTTCTCAAATAGTTGATGGCTTTAAACTTATGCGCTGGTCATGTGCATCATTAAGTTCAGACAATCGGAGAAAAATATAATTTGCCTAATAATTTGGAACACTCTATATTTGTCACGTTGCATACAAGGCAGGAAACAAGGACTGCTTCGTATGCAAACAGAGCGAACAAGAATAAGTGGATCCCCGAAGCAGCAGACACTGACAAGGCCTTCGTCTCAAAAAAATAATATTTATTACAAACGAAAAAATACCGTCTTAAAGGACAACAGAAAACGCTGGTCAAAACAAGAACCAGGAAAATAATGTAACGAGAAAACACAAAGCGCTTGCAAAGAACGGCAAGGAAAAGGATAAGATAATGTACTAGCTCAAATATGCGTCTTTAATTAATCCCGATGGGATGAAGAAAGTGTAAGCGAACAATAATCGAATACGAGTAAGGTTAACGAGCATGGGCAATAGCAGTGGCACGGCAAGCAATACTCCGGCAATGAGTCGACAGCCGGAGCGCCTAGATAAAGCAGGTGTAATCACAGACAAATGGGCAGCAGGGGTGCAGGCAGGAATAAAGGACAACAGAAAACGCTGGTCAAAACAAGAACCAGGAAAATAATGTAACGAGAAAACACAAAGCGCTTGCAAAGAACGGCAAGGAAAAGGATAAGATAATGTACTAGCTCAAATATGCGTCTTTAAATAATCCCGATGGGATGAAGAAAGTGTAAGCGAACAATAATCGAATACGAGTAAGGTTAACGAGCATGGGCAATAGCAGTGGCACGGCAAGCAATACTCCGGCAATGAGTCGACAGCCGGAGCGCCTAGATAAAGCAGGTGTAATCACAGACAAATGGGCAGCAGGTGTGCAGGCGGCAGAGTGAACGCCTGCCACCTGCTGTCTAATACGGAACATGACAATATTATTCACTTGTTCAAATGGTTTTGTTCTTTTTTTTCCAAATTGTTGACCAATATTAAATGTAGGACTGGCTTGCTGTCTTTGCCAATGCAATGTTAATAATGGCTCATCAAACATGCAGTTTTATTGATTTCCTGACAAGTGGTGGTTTTGGAAAGGCAATGTTTTCACTCATTAGCTAAATTCACGCCGTGCATTTATTTAACGGTAAATATAAATGTAACTGCATCACAGGCTTGGGACTCAAGCATGACGACCGCTGCGCTAAAAGCTTGGGTCGCCAACTCACAGGCTAGCACACTCTTTGAAAGCTTCAAGTAGTGAATTTTTGATAACGTACACTTGCCCGCCACAAGCTAGCATCCGTTCACCCCACGAAAACCTCACTCTCACACCGGGTCACCACACCACCTTAACCGATTCCTGTGCCGTTCAGCCGCACCTCGCTGCAGACCTGCGCCGCAGGAATCGAGAGCGCTAACCACTGAGCTAAAACCCCAAGCTGCCAAATCTGCGCCCAACACCCACTTTGAAAGCTTTCGAGGAGTGAGGTATTTATGAATTTACACTTAGCGCAAGCTGTCATCCATTACATAATGATAAATGGTGAAAATGGACTCCAGGAAGAATCGTAATCACGTCAGCTAAAGCTAATGGATATCCATGTAATGGAAAAGAGATGCGTAGAGAACATCTCCACTATTCAAAGCTGCTCTTAAAGTTGTCTGTGCTTTAAAGAAGGGCTCCAGTGACACTTACCTCCGTCCTTGTCTGATGGCTGATGGTGTCGGAGTGGCGGCCTGCCCATCTCCAACACTTTCTTCTACAGCGTGGCAACAGTGCTGACTCACTTCCGGTTAAGACCTCTATTGTCTCCCAGATATCCTTCCCTTCCCGTCACAAATACCAACTATGCGGCCAAGTTGGAGCGTACTGTCTTTGCCGTCTTCCTACCTACCTTCCTTCCTTCCTTCCTCCTGCCTTCAAATGTAATAACATGTTTGTAATGACTTTCTATGTTCACACACTGACCTGCAAGTACAGGAAATGATCCATATTACCGTACAGTGAAATCTCTCTTGAAATGCCCAAGTTTTCCCTCTTGTCTGTTCTCATCCGCGTTCTCGATTATTGCTAAATTAGGTGCTTGCGCTCATCAAGGTTTCTTTTTCATTCACTGAATTTTAAGCTAAGCACACAGAGCCAACATGCCATCTATCGGTCAACATGTAAACAGGGTCCATGCACGACGTATTCCTCTTCGTTCAGAACAAGTTGATAATTTTATGTTCCGAAAATTCAACCTTTGAAATGTTTATAGTTCTGCTGTTTTGTTGTTATTTTTAATTCTTTGGACTTTACTGCATTCCTTGAAAAGTGGTGATACTATCAGATATTTTTAGGGACAGTATTTTCTGCACGCTTTGGATTATAAAGCACACCTTCAACGAATGGCCTATTTCAAAACTGTTTTCATATATAGGGCGCACTGCATTATAAGGCGCATAGAATACAGACAATAGAATAATGGCTGCGGTTGCGCTGTGCATCCACCAGATGGAACTACACTAAAAAGAATACAATACAAGACAGCTTTATTAATATAGAGCCTCGGCTGCGGTTAGGTTATCCATCCACTAGATGAAGCTATGCTAAAGGGAATACAATACAATACAGCTTTATTGATATTGAGCCTTCACAAAAGCTGCAGCTGTAACAAAACGCTATATAGAACATTTAAAATACTACATCCAAGAAATCAGAATAGTGATCTACCTGTAGCTCCCTCAGGATGTCATTTCATTAACCATAATAACCTTGATACAGACACCTACGGTCTCTTAATATGTATAATTGATCATTTGTCATTCTTATCAATTGGACAATGAAGTTCCTCGGTGATTGAAAAAGTTGTTCTCCGGGTCTACATCGTGCTCCATATCTTGTGTCTTGTGCTCAGTATATTGAAAGGTTTGCAGCTCTAGATTGTCATATTCACTAAACCACTGAGTTCCTGAGCATTTGTTTATGGAAATCCTACATGTGAACAAGGGACTTCTTTCAGTGTGTCATTGTTGTGTGTAGTTTACCTTAATGTGGATCATTAGTTTTCTCAGTCCAGCTGTATCTTCCAGGAATTCCAGGAAAAGACGTTGTTCTGTGGAGCCAAAATCCATTCCATCAGACTCACCTCAGGACATCACTGATTGAAATGAAAAATGATGTGAAACAAAATCCCAGCTGGCAAAGATGTTTTTTTTGTTGTTGTCATTGTTGTTGTTTTGGGTAGTGTGGTTTCCAACGTGCTCTAGCTACATACAGTATACACACATCCAGCTCTCCCTCTTCCGTTATCTCTGAAAGGCCACTCTGCCCCATTAAGTAGGTTCTGCTGTGTGGGTTGAGACGTCTACGTTAAAATGTTCATTTCCTCTCAGCGTGTTTCCATTAGGTTGCTCAAGCACTCCGGCATGCCAGCTCGGGCCCAATTTATTCTGCCACAATGTGCTGCTGCTGCTGTATGAGTGGCCATGTAATGAGTGCTTAATGGGCCTCTGTCGGTTACATGGTGTCGGGGTGTTTATGAGGAGAGTTACACTAATGTGCCACAGGAGCTTCAGTGGACAAAACTTGCAGTATTTCACCTGCTTTTAATCTCTTGAATCACAAAGTACTTGTCGTACTAAACATTTTTTTATCACCATACTGAGAGAGAAAGAAAGAGATTAATGCAAACGATGCAGTATACGCACCATATAAGAATACTGTCGTTCATATATTCTTTATCCTCTGTGAAAAATAACCACTATTGATTCTGTACTGGGGAGCTGAGAGAGGGACTGAGCCTCCAGTCTTATACTGCCCCCACGTGGCAACGGAACACACCAGAAATAAAGGAGATAATTGATTGAATGATGAATGGCATTTCCATTCATTTCAACGGTGGACAGATTTTTCGAGATCCAAGTATTTTGCTCCATGAGCCTGATCAAGGAGAAAATAAAACTTGTATCTCGAGGCACCAATGTAGAGGAGGAAATCAACAGAGCCTCTGCTCTGCATCCAATAAGTGCACTGCATTTTATTTCTCATTTGCATCAAGTAGTAGTTCATCACTAATAATCATGTTAACATTTTTTTTTTTTTAAACATAGTAAAACTAACTATAATTAGGAATGAACATGCCCTTCGTTTTCATCTTTGACAATTAATAACCTGCAAGAGCTTTTGGACTTCATTTCAATTAAACTGAATTCTCTATTGCTGTGCGCCCGTACAGAAGAAGTTCAGTAGTTTGAGAATTGCAATTTACTGTTTGACACAATCCATAGTGACCTCTTTTTTTTTTTTTTTTTTTTAATCTTTCATTCGAAAAATACTCCATATATCATAACGAACAAACCTGCTCTACAAACAAATTAAAACGACTCCATTTAAAAAGCCATCAAAATGAAAAAAAAAAAAAACGAACTAATGAAAAATCAAATCTGGTATGACCTTGATGTAGACAAAGACCATAATACTCACAGGAATTTATTCTTTATCTTTGGCAAAAAAGAAAAAAAAAAAGATTTGGCATCTCTATTTATTTCACTGGGAAAGACGTTTGAGGTACAGAATGTGAAGAAAAAAATGTGAGCGTTTTTAATTTGCCCTGATTGCCCTTTAATTCCAACGCCAATGACAATGAAGAGCTCAGACAAAACATGCTTTCTGCCTACGCTGTGGCGCATGAATTATTAGCGCAACCTTGGACTTAATGAGGTTCATTCGGAGGTGAGGCTGCCAACAGCTGAGCGTGAGTGACTTCGGTCATTCTCGCAACATGGCCGCCTCAGCACCATGCGTGTCGAGTTTTCTCGCCAGTTCGCCTCCTCCGATAAACTCCTCCTCCCAGCGGCCGACCGGAGGCTTGCTTGTTGGCAGTATGAAGGGATTTCTTTGCTTGCGCAGTACTCTGCCATCAATCCTGTTTGCCATGCTTCAGTCCCCGGCTGCCCCCCCCCTCCCCCCGCCTCCTCTTACCCCTTTCCATCCCTGTGCCATCCATCCTCCAGTTTCTACTCTTCACATCCATCCATCTTTCTTTACGCTGCCTCGTTGGATTGATCGTGTTGAGCTTGGGGGATGGGGGGGAGGCAGGCATCCTCTAGGGACAAACACAGCAACACTAGAGTGCCAGGCCTTGTGTTTTTAATGAAAGGCTTTAACACAGTAGCCCCCCCCCCCCCCGCCCCCATGCTCGTGTTGCACATTCAAACAGACAAGCTGTACCAACTTACCCTTGATGGAGAAATTGAAAGGAGTCAGCTCATTAAACAAACCATTTCATGGAAGACTTGTTCATTGTGCTTTACGGCAAAGCAGTGTTTTGGGCGGAAATGAGCTCTTTTGTGAGATGCTTGTGTCAAAAGCGAGAGTAAGAGAAAGATTCTCATGTCTTATGAGGTGGAATCTATATAAAGTCTTGATTATTGCTCGACAAGAAGGTTGTGGGTGAAGATGATGCATGTTCTGGTTACTATATGATGCGCCCAGCGCGTTTACATGAATTTGTTCTATATAGGCCGCGATCTCTATAGCTGCAATAAAAGTGGCCGAAAATAACAGGCCACAAATCATAGCCTCTGTTAAGTAATTCACTTTTTTCTTTTGTGCCTCTCCTGGTTCTTATGGTTTATTGTAATCATCTTTTGAGCTCCAACAAGCAAATGCGGCGGTTGTGGAGAAGCAGTTAAACAGCGTGTGTTTGGCAGCTGTGGGAATGGCTACTGAGGGCAGAGGAGTAACAAGAGAGGCCAAACTCGATCGTAAGAATCCGCCATTCATTGATTTTCTGTAGGGCTTTATTCCTACTTTTACTTTCTATTGTTAACAACAAACACTATCGTATTTTCCACACTAAAAGGCTCACTGGCAATGAATGGCCTATTTTGTAATTTTTTTCATGCATTGGGCGCACTGCATTATAAGACGCAATCTACAATCCATCCACTAGATAGAACATTTTAGATGGATCTCCAGTCCAACGCAACAACTAATGGTATCATTAAACTACTTCAAGCACACTATAGTTACCAAATCAGAGTGCGGGGCCAAAATGAGGTAAAACACATTTTAGACTTATCATTGTAAATTTCTGACAACCTATTTTAAGACCTCAAAGTTTCATTAGTCTGCTACATTTAGATGATGTGATGCTGATCAAAGGCATTTAATGGTGATATTGGCGAATTAATTTTTCTACCAATGGTGTAAGGTAGCATCGATTCTTAACTGTCATACAAATGTCAAAAGTTAACCATTCTCACTTTTGGAACGTGGAGACTTTTAACGCTTACATATTGATGCGTACACAAAAGTGTGCGTGTGCATGTGTGTATGCATGTGTGCCTGTCTCTGCGCCAAATCGACGCCAGAATTCCAAGCGGTTTATTTAAAGAGTTGATTTTTTTTCCTCTCTTTGTAGTCCCACTCGGCGCTGGCAGCATTTGGCCCATCAATAATGTAATTCTTAACCAGCAACTGCATCACGTTGTCCTAATTCCCTCCTCCATTATATGACCACATCTCTCATTACACTATAAGCAGCCTTCATTCGGACCTCGGGCAGAACGCAAAACGGGCTGCGTGTCTCATCCACACAAATAAACACGTATACACGTAGGAGTGATGAAGGTGCACAAACATGCTTCTTCAGTGGCTGCAAGACTCTCAGATAGAACAGGCCGGCAACCTACTTGGCCCCCTCATCTCCACTTCCTTCCCCTCTCTTCCTCTCTTTGTTTAATCAATCAGATAGCCATTAGCCAGCAGCGACTGCTTGCACACATATTGCACAGCCACGGGAGCGCTGCCATTCCGCAAGATGGCTCACCCCTCCGCCCGCTCCAACCGTCTGCCTCATTGTGATAGCGGTGCAGCCCGGGGGAAATAAAGACGGCAGCAGTTAAATCAAATCCACAGCGCGGTGAGGTGGATGCTAGCAAAGATACCTTTTTAGGCCCGATTTGATATTTTCGTTCTGTTGGCAAGACTCAGAAAATTACCACCAGCATGCCCTGACTGTGATATTTTAATGCACGTTTGTAGGGACACAAAAGGCATCCATTTTTGCCCTTCAAAGTTCAATTGCGATTACATGGATCCAATATAATACTCATTGAATGAGGTAAGAGTTTATGCATCCCCCCCACCTATAATAATAAATAAATAAACACAGGTATATTACCAAGCCACAAAAACGGTGATCAACTCAAATTGCTCCTATCTAAAAAATAATTGTAATGTATTTTTCGAATGTGAAGAGTAGCAATCTGTAATATTGTACATTATGAAAACAAAGTAATGACATAAGTAACTATAGCTAAAAAGATTTTCGCTGTTTTTGTCACAGTTTGCATCAGTTGAAAGGCCATTTAGCTGGTGCCAATTTGGCCAACAAGGAGCAATGCAAGTCACACGGCTATACTCTACATTCTTTGATTCATTGTCTCTATCTCTAACGTGTATGTGAGTAATGTGAATGAATGAATAAACAAATCAATACAAACAAATTTTATCAAACAAAATGATCAAATCAGCCAAACATAAAACTAAAAAGGTAAATCTTTACGGAGATCTCGTGTGTGACAGAATTTAGCATTGGTTTGTGTTCGATGACCTTTGCAGACAAGACTGGTGCAACATCTGAGGAGTGAATTAAAAAAAAAAAAAGATCCAGTACAGTGAAACCCAAGTTCATCTACAGTTGCACCTTGACCTATGAGTGCAACAATTTAGGAGTTTTTCGAACCACAAGCTTTTGCTCAATTTTTATTTTTATGTCTCTGTGATACATTTGCAAGACCCACTATTCAGAGGGGATAAGAAATGAACCCTGATGGCCACCCAAAAAGGTTTGTAATTGCCTACAAATGACATAAGATGGCGGCAAAGCACTTTTTTTTTATATATCAGACAATGCTGTGGTCTGATGAAATGATGCTCCTCCCTTCAGTTTTACGTTGTTGATTGGCAGCAGTCTGTTACAAGATGTCGGCAAAACAATATTACTATATTAGAACTGGCTTTGGACTGAACACAAAAACAGCAAAAAAAAAGGGGGGGGTCAGGCATATTTTTATCTATTCGCTGTAGGGCTTTGTCCCTCTTCTCTGTAAATAGAAGGGATTTGCCATATTAGCTACTGTCTTTGTGCTAGCACAAAAGTCATCAGTATGCAAGGGAGCGATACTTTTAATGTGCTTTTCCACCTGCGGCTGTTCTTGTTCACAAAGTTGTGCTCCGAGTTGTGATAAAAAGTCATCAGCATTGCGTTGTTCATCATCAGCTGTTCGCCCTCCTCTGCTGTCAGCCGCCGTGGCAGCTTGCTAATGGTGCCAGCTGATTTCAATTAGCTCTCTGCCAAGCTCCGTCGCTCCGTCCTCTCGGCTGAAGAACAACCTTTAAATAGTCTGAAATAGCTCTGAGAGGGAATCGGCGATAAGAGACAAAAGGGAACAGGGGACGCTGCCATGAAATGGCATGTTTTAGTGCTTGTTTTCCGCTTGTTCCACAGTGACAAACACATCGTGTCCTGTAAAATGTGAAGAAGGTGACATTTAATTCATTCAGTACCAGCCATTTTCAGACCTGTCTTTACCCTACAACGTCATCATCATTATTATTTTTTAAATACTGTATATAAAGACATACCTGGGATTGAATGAGTGGATTCTTAAAAAGAAAAAATAACCAGAGATCTTCGCGCTCTAAAAGGAATGTGGTATTACTTTAGAATCTTTCCTATCGAGGTTTCTCATAATTTTTGGGAAGAGGTTTTTTTTTTTTTTTGTTTGTTTGTTTTTTGTTTTCCCAATCCATTTCAATGTGCGTCAAACATGCGCGGCCAGCGGGGGTCCACTGTATATTGAGAGAGGGAGAGCAAGCGATCAAGTTCAATGGATAACACAAGAAGTGTAGTCAAACAATGTACTTACAGTAAACAAATCCAAATTTTCCCCCCCCCCAAACTGATTTATGAAATTCAGCTAGACCGTCACTTTCTGTCGGCGTAAAAAGTAGGATTGAAAGGAATCGACATTCAATAATCTTCAGGGGAAAAAAAAACAACAACCTAGAAAGCGCTTACTGTTTTCGTTGTTCTGTACACTGTAGCATACTCGATGGATGGATAAATAATCAATCCAGTTGGTTGGGACCCTTAACTCACCTTCAATCTTATCCTCTTATCGTGGCATTTTGCACTCTGTATGCCCCCCATGTTTTATTCATGAACTGTTTGGCCAAAACCCTTCTCTGTTCCCAGCGGACAAAGCAAGATCCATGAGGGGTGTGCTCGTATGAGTGTGGTTTGGAAGAACCTCATCAAACACCTTTGAGAACAAACAGTGATTGTGAGCAATGAGGCCCTCTTGATGTCAATGGCTTTCTTGAATTCAGTCCCTACTGCCCTACCCGTTGTTTCACCTTAACTAGTGAAAATATTATATCCACAGTGCAGGAGCAATCTTTACAAACTGTTATTAATTTCCCCCCCCACTTTTTTTTTTAACCCGTTCATGCACCCTGTAACCTAATAGCATGATAAGCAGTCCACTGGAGTAACCGCTGTCCCTGAAAGGGTTAAATTACAATGCAAAGTAGAGAGTAGATCGAATCAGTCACTCTTGTTCTTCTTTCCATTTGCCACCTGCACCAGCTGATGACAACGTTTCATCACACTTCTCGCTGAGAACCAAAACCCAATTTGGTGAAATCTTTGCTCCGCATACTGCAATGTTTCACTTGGCGAATACACGAGGACGCAGTTAGATGGCAAGTAAGGATGGATGCTTGTTCGCTGTTAAAATGATCCAGAGGGAGTCAACTTGTGCTAGGATCAGAAGCTTGTCTGAAGTCGTCCCTAATGGGGCGACTCGATTGTTCGTACTTTCTCATTGTTCCGACTTTTACCGCTGTCCTTTCCTACTGTTTAGTTCCTCAAGAAAAGACAAGCCGGTAAGATGTGAATGTGGCGCGTACTGACTTTGTTTGAGATGTTTCCTCCTCTCTCCCCCTAGAGGAAATTGGCGCAGGAGCAAGTAGGGCATTCCGCGCAGGAGAGGGTTTTGGAATCGAGGAATGTGGATGCTTCACTCCCAAAGTGAGAGAGAGATGAGGATCTGCTCTTTGAAAACAAAAGCCGAGGGGTGTAACAAAGAATCTTGAATGAAATTGGGAGTTTCTAGTGTTTCCTTCATGGTACTACAAAAAGAAATTGACAAGTTAAATCTTCTAGACCGTAACAACGACAAGTGAAAGTGTCTGGCAAAAAGTTACTCCGTGCACCCTTCATTAGGTACACCTGCACAATGGATGTATGTTTCATGTTCAAAGGAGGCTTTTTATGCATTTTTCACAATTTTAAACAGATCCCACTTGTCTTAATAAACAGATATCACAGTCTGATTCGTTTGTTGCAGTGGTGTGGGTAAATCATCTTTTGACTGAAATTAATGCAAATGACATTAATCTGTTCCAGCCCCACCCCAAAAAAGTTTTGACGCATGTTTCTTGATAAGAAAATTAGCACTCCATAAATATTGTATTTAAAAAATACAATATTTACTGATTTTATTTTAAAAATACAATATTTACATAATTACCGGTACTGTATGTAGAAAGTAATAAATTGAACAGTTAATGCATCATGATCCTTATAGTTTGCCTGCCTTGGCCACCAGGGTGCATCATAATACACACAGACATACACTACACAACTGATGCTGAAACACGCAAGGAGTTAATTCATATTAGTTTTTTTTCCACAGAGGATTAAGAATGTATGCCTGTAAATATTGTTGTATGATCTGTCTGCATGTGTTGCTGCTGTCTGTGTTCAAATCTACAGTACACTGCCAAAGGTTTAGATTAGAACTACTGTACCGCTAAATCAATGCTAGCAGTGTTAGCCTGTCTAAATGTCTTTGCATAATGCTATCAGACTTTCATAAGACTTTGTGTTTTGATTTGGAACACACTGTGTAATTCCCTTTGTTTTATGTTCCATTTTACAGTGAACTTCACTTTAAGAGCTTACCTGCATCTTATTTGAAGAATTGTGGTAACAGTTCGCATGTTGAAGAACTTTTAAGTCGGGTCTTTCATGAATCAAGGTTCCGATGTAAAGAAGTCCACTCTCATAGCAACATCCCGTGTAATTCAACCATCATTCGAGGTTCTTATGTGTTTTTTGACCAGTCCTGGAATGACAGACCTTATTTCTTACGAAAAATGCCCACAGATCTTTTCAGTTCAAACTTTTTGGGCTTTCAAATGGAATTCAGGAGCATAGTGAGGAGAGCGACATAAAAAGACAGCCGCTCTCTTTGTCTGTTTTGGCAGCGATTGTGTGAAATAGTCGCAGTGCACAGATGAGCTCTTTTGCAGACCGTGGGCAGACGCATTGGGGAGCTTGTCACCTCCGTGCGTTCCGCGCTCGTGTCACACAAAGGGACAGTGGCTCTGTCAGTCACAGTGTCACTTCCACAAGCCTGCATACTCCCCGCAGGCCTTTTTACCCCGCCTTTGGCATCGCTTCGTGATCTCAATGCTCACAGGACTTCTGCTTTTACTGTGAAGGCTTCTGGTCTGTCAAAACAATCCGCACACAAGGCAAATGAGTACGTATGTTCATATTGCTCCTGTCATCACCTGTGCATGGGATTGGATCCACCGTGTGTTATGACTTCAAAGCACTGTGAGAAAACATTTTCATAAAGTATAATACATTGATTCAATTGTTCATTTTGTTACTTTGATTCTTTATTTAATAAATTTTATTTATTACTTTTATGTCACTGTCAGCTTCTGGGTTCAAACACCACCAGCCTCACCTGTCACAAAAAGTAAACAAGGAATGATATCTGCATGGCTGGAGTTCCACATTAACATTATAGTCATAAATGCAATTTTATCAAAACCAAAGTTCATGTTTATTTTGTATGATGATTATCTTTGCCATGGTAAATTAAATCGAAACAGAGCAAGTGTGTATCTCTGTCCTAACTGTGCACAAACCCACTAGCGTTTGTTTGTGTGTGTGTGTGTGTGTGTGTGTGCGTGTGCGTGCGCGTGCGCGTGCATGTGCAAAGGAGCGTTTCAAACCGAGAAGCGAGTCAATGATGAACGTAATGAAAATGCAAATTGTCTTTCTGCTGTTGACCTGTGCTGTCAGTCAGCGTCGCAATAATTCGATACAGACCAACTTTGGAGAAACAGGCCTGCTCTCACCCCACAGCATGACACAGGCACAACTTCCCACCAAGCTATTTCCTTCATTCGTTATGGAAGAATCTGTCTTTCTCGTGGAAATGTTTTCTCCTGTCATTCCTCCACTTTCTAAACTCTCTAAACTAAACTTGTTTTATCTTATGCCGTCATTGACTGGTGACCAGTCCCAAGTGTACCCCGAAGTCCGCTGGGATAGGCTCCTGCTCATGCGAAACGTATTTTCTAATACAGTATATTCAAAGGGAGTTTGGAACGTGATGAAAATTTACAGTGACGCCTTGAGATGCAATTGACGGGCTGAGTTAGGCGAGACACAATCCATCATTCTGACCTTTTTATTTATTTTTTTTGCTTTGACATGTGAGCACAAACTTGACGATACTATTTGATGTTTATTGTCAAACTAAACATAAAGCAAAGGGAATCGTATGTTGTGTGTTGAAAACAAGCACAAGCCTTTAGTCCACTAGCTTAATGCTGATGCTAGCACATGACAGAAAATGCATATTTTGCCACTGAAGCAACTGGTATTTGAACATTGGTGCAGAAACCCATTTATCAATATAACAGAAATCCGCTGTCATATATTCTTTAATTCATCGTGTGTGTGTGTGTGTGTGTGTGTGTGTGTGTGTGTGTGTGTGTAAATAATATATCGTCTAATCGAGCAATGTATCGATTTTTCTTTTGGGGGTGGGGAGACATACTATATATCTTAGAATGAAATGGTACATTTACATCACTGACAAGTTCAAAAATGTATGCAAAATGACAACAAAAAAGTCTCATCGTCGCATCCTACCCTCTTACCCTGCAATCTTAATGAGGTAGAAAACCTTAAATACGATCTGGCCCAAGACGAAAATGATTTACACACCTTTTTTTAAGGACAACCGCGGACTCCTTTACCAATAGCAACGAGCAGCCTTGTATGTAATCCGCAGCAAGCATCCACCCCAGCAGTGATGCATCAAACACATGTAAAAATCAGATGTTTACCCAGTGGATTGCTCCTGATGGAGCAGAACCCTTTCCTCTCCCTGGACAGCTCGTGGGCGGTTTGCTGTCAGTCAAAGCGTCACAGGGCAAGTAATGCATAACAAAAATAATGTCACTCTCATTTGCATTCTGTCCCTGTGCGGGTTTGTAGATCTCCGTTTCCAACACTTTCACACAACTGCTGCCTCATTTTCTTGTATGTTATGATTCGCATTTGCAAGTCAATGACACTGAGCTTCCTTTCCAAGAACTGACTGCATGTATTCCTCCGGAGGCGTCTAATGACCTCTTGATGCCGCTGTTGTATCCTAGCTGCGGTGAACGTCGCTATCCGTGGTTCTCAAACTCTTCCTCTCAAAAAAAAAATTTGAACTGACTGCATGTATTCCTCCGGAGGCGTCTAATGACCTCTTGATGCCGCTGTTGTATCCTAGCTGCGGTGAACGTCGCTATCCATGGTTCTCAAACTCTTCTTCTCAAAAAAAGAAAAAAGAAAAAAAAAGGGTGCCAAACATTTGCCTTTCGCCCATTGTTTATAGTGCAATTCAGACAATTTAACTCGACCATATTCATTTGCTATAATCAGTGTTAGCGTCGAGTGACAAGGCACAATGTTCATTGTTAATGGGAAAAACACGCTCACGTTTCTGGACTAACCTCCGTCTATTGTAATATAGATACTTGACAAACATTCATTGTGTTTAGGTGTGGTTCAGTTCCAAGTAGCCATTAAAGTGAACAGGATACATTATACATTTTGTATTATGATATAGATATATATATGTATATAATTATAAATAGTTTGGCTGACTTGCCTGGTTTTTAGATAAGCAACAGTCTGATTGTGAGTGCGGATCGTTTTCTGTTTTTCTGTGACCTGTGAGTGGCAACTATTTTAGGGTGCAGCCTGATTAGGACTAGCGCTATAGAAAATTCATGTGCAGTATAGGTATTACATGAATAAATATTATTTTGAGTTGCTTTTTCAACTATATACATGTATGAGATTGAACAGTGTAATGATTATGATGATGATTATTTTCTAGTGTTAGTTGTGGAGGTAGTAGTTGTACTACAGGTTCGTTTGTTGGTTCAATCCAGAGGTTTAATGCTGGAGCTGTCCAGTAACCCGGAAGTAAGGTGCACGCCGCAAAAAATAGCGTAGTCCTTCCAAAACAAGAGCTTATTCGTATCAGTGGTTTGCTTTTTTGTCTGCAGTTGTACGTGTTTCATAGAAGTATTAATATTCTATATTATGTAGTAACCATTCCCGTGGTTTACACCCCGCTATTTCACACGATTTGGCGTGACGCGTGTAAAGTTCTTGATTGTGAAATAATCGCCGGATAATTTGTGCATCCGTAGCGTAGCTTGACTCATGAAGTGAACAAATTGCCGTGAGCCACTGTGTGTCGGCACAAACGGGTGGGCTTCTGTGAGAAGTTAAAACCGGTTTGTCGATGCGCTACGTGGACTCGTCCACGGCTTTCGGCGCGCTGAGGTAGACGCTTGCCGACTCAATCCACCTTCTATGACGCCGTTTTCGTAAAGTCGCTAAAAGGTGGAAAGGCAACCTGCAGCGACATCGCCTCGGAGTCGGAGTAGCCAGACACCGCTGCAAAAAAAAAAAAAAAAAAAAGTTGACAGACACCTGGACACTCTGGATAAAACTTTCCACTTTTCCTTCAGGGAAATCCCGTCTTAAAATCTTTTCATTTCGTCGGTTGGAACGCTGACACAATGTTTGGTCAGCACATGCTACAAGCGGGGAGCTTCACGTCCAAGTCAGGGGTCGCTCGTTTTGGGAAATGATGACTGTCAGCACCGACGGCAAAATTATGGTCAGAAGATGGCTCGTGACGTTCAAGCCCTTCAGGTAAGCAGTTGCCTTCTTAAAATCCTGTTCTCCCCTCTCCTCGACGTTATTATTTAACTGGACACATGCTGTTCTTGTCATATTGGTGCGTTATGGATTCAAAGTGGCAATCCATGAATTAGACGGACCCCTTCAGAGCGGTTTACGTTAACAGGTACTTACAGGTGCAAGGTGGTTTCTTAGCTCAGCTTATTTCAATGAATCGTCAGCTTTATGAATGAGTACTCATCCTGGCTTGCAATAATTTATTTTACAATGGCTATAATTATATATTCATTGTTGTCAGTGCAATGGTTCTCAAACTTTTTATTTTATTTTTTTTTACAACAAATACCATCATCAGGACTAACATGAGTTAAAATATGGAAGCGTAGTAGGCTAAAACACTAATCAGAAATCAGTTTTTTATATTACTGTAATCCACTGTAACAGAACATTAACTCTGTGCTTAAATATAGGACAATAAAATAAAAGTAGATTTTACATAAGTTAAAATATTACCTAAGGGTTTGAAAAAGAATGTACTTTAAAGTTAAGTACACATGAATTGTACTTAACAAATGTACTGTAAAAAAAAAAGTTTGAACATTAAATTCTGAGATTCTGTCGCCTACCACAGGTGGTACTGTACCACACTTTAAAATCAACTGGTTGTCTTTCAATTAGGTTCTCAGAGGCCAATTTGAGGATCAGGTGTTTTGAGGAGCTCCTGCTCAGGCAAGAGACATTTCACAGTTTTGTTCATTTTCGCGCAATTTCCTCCCTTCATTTATGAATGAGAAGCACAACACTTTTTGGGAATGTCTGTGAGTCGAAAATCAAATCTGATAAAGGTAATCTAAATGTTGACAAAAGAGAAATGGATTTATGAAACCGACATTGTAGCCACATATTCAGGGGAGGACAACTCATTTTGACACAGCAACACCTCTCTCTGCACATTCACAGTTTCCTTTTTTTTCTGGAGTGAACTAAAACACATGCCTACCAGAGTTGTGTGCAGAGGCTATTCAAGAACCAATGGGTGGGTCATTTGTTGCCACCCCCGTTCAGCAGATGTTTCCCCCCTAGCACAAGGCTTGTAGTTGAGTCAAAACCATATTCTTTAGCACCCATGGAGCGAGTGGTGAAACAATCCCCTAACATTACACTTACTGCATGCATTGTTCGTGCCCAGAGACACACATGAGGGGCATTTTTTTCTTTTAACAAATAACTGCACTTGTCGTCAGAATATGTTACAGTTGGACAGCTGCTCGATTTTTGTTTGACATGTTAGATTTGCAGTTTAAGACCTGCTAAAGTGGATACTTTCCAAACATGACATAATGAACTGATTCTAAAAAAGCCATTTATATAAAACTTGCACATCTCAATGCTGTCTCAAGCCGTAGTTCTTTTTGCTACAATACCCAAAGAACTGCCAGAAGGCCGATTACCGGCGCCAGCAAAACTTTGCCTGAGAACGCCAACACCTCCTCCATAGCTGGCATGACTCGTCTACTTTCCAAATCATCCGCAGAGGCCAAATCAGGTAGGTGTATATATTTGAGGGAGCCAATTAGCCGATAGCGCATCTCCTCTCCTGATCCAATTAAAGGGAGCAGAGCATTTACTTTTAAGCATGTTAATTAAAGGCTCGTCAGTGCAGGAGGAGCAAGGTCTAATCCTCCCGCATCACCCACCTAACAGCCCTTTGCAAAACAGTTGAATAATAATCAAGGGGGATGACGATCTTTTCGGAGCAGCCCCTCTAGCCTCGCGCCGGCTAAATAGATTTTATGCCTCTTTACACTTCATATCGACCTCGATGTTGCTCTTCCCAACATACAAATGCACTGCATTGGAGATGCTCATGTAAACTAATGAGTTCACTTCTAAAACTTGGTGCCTTTAACTGTAATTAGTGATCATTTCAAACGGCAGTCTGTGGAAAATGAGCACTTTCAGGATCATGAATTTGGGACTCGGTTTTCTGGTATCCTGTATAACAATAAATGCCTAATCCCAACAGCAGGGGATTCCAAACTTTTTCATTTTAGCTCCGCATACAGAAAAAATTGAAGCACGAAAGAGCCACGTTAAATTTTTACATTTTTTTTTTTTTTGAAAAACCCTAAATTCAACCAAGAAAGCAATTATATATGTTTGTATTGTCGAGTTAATTTCATCAGCTTTCTGTTCAGGGTCTTAAGGCAAATAGTTGAGGATTTTTTCCCCAAGTTTTAGGGCTGGCCAACCGCCATCTATCTCACAAGGTAGATCCAACTCTGCTGCACTAAACAACAGCTGATTCCCATCTCCACATCCAGAACCCAAAAAATGAACAAACTGGAGTAAGTGACCATTTTTCAAACAGTTACTTGAGGATCATTAATGTGATGTCTTCATAAATCAGCCATTGAGCAATAAGTGGAAGAAACCATTTTTGCCTCTAAAATTGAATTGTCTTTATTTGCTCCAGTGGTTTGAAGATCAATTGTTAACCTTGTAATCAAAAATGGTTTATTTGTACCATTGACGATAGAGAAAGGTTCTACAGTATATAAACAAACGTATTAGTCATGATGGCCCCTATTTTTATGACATCCTTCCTTCTCACTCTGCCCACCTTCACCTTTTTTAACTAATCTTGCGGGCCGTGGCAAATGCCTTTTTTTTTGTCATGTCGTGGGCCGCTGAAAAATGGATGGCGAGTTGCAAATGGCCCCCGCGCCATACTTTGGACACCACTGCCCTACATGTATGAGTACAGCATCACTGGGGCTCATCCTGGGTTGATTGCCAGCCAATCACTGGGGACATGTAGACGAGCAACATTCACACTCGCATCCGCACCTATGGACACTGAAATCTGAAATCAACTCAACATGCATGTTTTGGAATGGCGGAGGTTCCCGGAGAGATCATGCAAACATCACAACAAAATGAATCAAACCCCGAACCTCAGACGGACCCATGAGGCAGACGTGTGCCCCACTTGCTCACTGTGCCGCCACACTTCTCCATCCAACAATCAATATAACGCTGTACAATATTTTATTTTCAGCGAAAATGAACACTTGCTTGAAGGATATTTTATGACTGGGCCTACCTTAGAATATCAAGCTCGTAAAAGCACGAGTCTTCTCCCTCATGTGTCATTCAGCGTCTTCTTCATCCCTTTGGGTGAGCCGGATCAGTAAGTTTTGTGACTTCATCGCCGTCATTGGGAATTTCTTCCTAACAAGCCACATTAATATCCACTGTTTCCGTTCCAAACGTTTGCATTTCCTCAACACTTGTCACCTCTGAGCGCTTATGAATCATTCATTCTTTTGTTGTGTCCATTCATTTATTCAATACAAAAGGTCGCTTGTGAAGGACTACCTCTAAATTATGAATGACACTCATTCTCTCTCATCCGCTGCTAAAATTAGTTGTGGAGTGAAATGCATTAATTGTCATGCATCCGTCAGCACTAAGTTCTTGCATTTATAAACAGTGGCTTTCCCCGTAAGTCACAAAAGCCGATTGCCGTTTTGACCACCAGGTGAAAATAAGACATTTTCCCCCTCTGCAGTTCGCCAAAGACTTTTTGGCATACTGAGACAACCCTTTGATCGTTGTCCTTTTGACAAGAGTAGCTTAACTGGGTCAGGATTTACACAGGCACAAAACACCTGCCTTTACTCTCTTTTAAGTCAAACATTCATCTCCCCGGGCTGTCTTAACAAGGGAGAATGCACACGCGGCTGTCTCAATTTCCCCCCCTCATGAGATTTTCTGAAACACACAAAAAAAAAAAATATATATATATATATATATATTTTTTTTGCACTAAAGCCAGGCAGTCTGTAGCCGTGTGTCACTAATAGATGTATTTTATGCAAAGCACAACAGCTGATGCTGCTGAGACTGCGTGAAGAGCCCATTACTGCCCTAGTTTTTAAGACTCCGTGGCCCCCTTTTACACTGCCTGTAAAAGACAACTTTTTCTCCATGCGTCGATGTTTATGCCGCCGACACAGAAAGAGGGGATGAAGTTTATTTTCCAGTTTTACTGCTGCAACAGAGACAAGATGCCACCTTCGTGCAAGGATGTGAAGTTTAGCACTTAATGTAAGATTTAAAAAAAAAATGTTTGGCCACGCTGTGATTTCGAATGAATATTGTAGGAATGATCAGTTGAAAATGTAAACACATCATGAATATTGACAAAAATATATATATCACATGATCAGTGACTTCATCTAGAGCAGGGGTGTCAAACTCATTTTTTGTCACTTGCCACTTCAGAGTTATTGCTTCCCTCGGAGGGCCGGTGCAAAATCTCAGCGTTATTTATTACCCATGACAATTTGACATTTCGGTATGGAATTCAGCAAGAATCATGATAGTTGACACACATGCTTTGCTCCCACGGGCCACATAAAATGACGTGGGGGCCAGATCTGGCCCCTGGGCCTTGGCTTTGACACCTGTGATCTTGATGAATATCATTATCAAGAATAACATAATTCAAGATAATTTGAGGAGGTTTGGATGATTCAGTACCCAAGGAGTAGCTTGGTTTCAAAAAAGTTAGCGAGCCCTCCAATAACCGAATATTTTGCCATTCACACCAGCAATATCATGCTAGAGAATCTCTATTTTGCCAACCAGAACCATGGTATCTGTTATAATAATTACGTCACAATCCGATATTGGAATATTTTGCCAATAAAGGAATGATGGGACGACATCACAATGTTTTGCAGCTGACATCACATTATGACATCACAATACTCATGAGACAAGGGGAGGAAAGCGACCTGTTTGACCTTTGCCTTTTTCTAAGCGCATGTGTTTAAAAAAGTGTAACTTGAGTGTTTTTCTCCTTGTCTGATTGTTATGGTTCTGCTTTTCACTTTTTCTACTAGGCTTGTCATGCCAATCGGTGCCTTGCCAACCTAACCTCAAAATAATTTGCCTGTTTTGTTTGCCTAGATTCTCCCAACTACAATTTACCTGCCTCGAAATGCCTTGCCTGGCTCCTTATTCTTACAAATGGCTTACGCCCCCCCCCCTTCCCACATAAGTTCCTTCTGTCTCACATGAAACTCACTTCACTCCTTTTAACACTTCCCTCCTTTCCTCGCACTTTTGTGTGTTGCAGGATATTCGTGGTGGGAATAGGCTTCTTCAGCCTGTGCTTTCTCATGACTTCTCTAGGGGGGCAATTCTCAGCCAAGAGACTGGGGGACTCCCCCTTCACCATCCGTACAGAAGGTACCGACATGAGCTTTCTCTGTGCACAAGTGCTTAAAATGCTCCCTGTCCTCTTTTGCTAGTGCCATACTCAACATGAATGTGATGTAGTATTACTGAAGAGCGGTACATGATCATGATTTTTAACCTCTCGACATTTTGTTTTAATTTCACGAAATCCAGTGAGACACAAAGGAAAAAAGAAATGTTGTGTGTTCTTATTGCTCTAATTGTGTGTCTGGTGAACTGTCGTGGCACCAAAACTGACTTGTGAGAGGCACTATGGCGCAACAGGGCATCCAGACTGCCAGGAGATAAAAAAAAAAAAAAGGAGAGGGAGAAGGCATGGAAGTTCGGTGAACTGAACGAATTTCATGATGGTGGCAATTATTTTTTTCCAATGGGAATAGTTTTAAAGTTAGAACTTGGAAGTCAACCAGTGTCACTGAACAAATTGTGCTCCACTTTTGGAGGTTCCACTGCGATGGACCCAGGAGATAGCAGACAGAGTGTGTGTGTGTGTGTTGTGTGTGTGTATGTGTGTGTATATATATATATATATATATATATGTAATTAAAAAAAAAAAAAAAGAATCTGCTCTGTTTATGTGTCTGTGTTTGAGAGATAATGGAACAGGAGGATTTGCTTTGGGATTACTGTGTTTGTAACAACTGTAGGTAATGCAAGTTTGTGTGAATTAAGGATAAGAATTCGGTGCACGTGCTCGATTAATCAACTACTTGTGCCGTGCAGCCTGAGAAGGAATTTGGAGCGAGCCCATTAAAATTGCATAACGTCCGTCAGTGCATCCCTAAAGGTTTTCACCATGTGTCGTGCCTGTCGATAATGCCCCGCATCATATATTGCAGGAAAGCGTGTTTTCCTTTGAGCGTGGAGGATGCTTTTTATGTGAATGCCCTGCCAGTTCAGCCTTTTTATGCCTGCCCCTGTGCAGATTGACCACGTGGGTTTTTGCGACTCCCTGCCCATTCAAAGCGTGTGCTGATCCGAGTTGGTGATGAGCTGGCAGGAAACGACTGTTAAAAAGGGGCGATGGCAGCAATGTGGGACAAGATTGAGACGGCGCAGGCCCATCTGCTTGTTGAAAAACAACTGGTCCTTTCATTAAGCCTTCGCTCACCACCCACAGGGGTCACTCCGTGTTTGTATGTCATGTTTGTCACGTCTTCCTTGTAATACAAAGGAGCTTACGTACTTTTCCAAACCGTTCTGCATTTTTTTTAATGCTAAGCGCCTTCATTTTACACCGATTTATGACTCATGTTTGCTTTTGGGATTTGCGCTAAGCTCAGAGGAGATGTCATTGTTTTCCCGTTGTATTTTATTTTCCCCACTGTTGTGTACATTCCAGATTAGGTGTCATCCTTTTAAAAAAATTGAGAGCTGTCTAGAAAGTTGCTTCTTAAACATTGTACCGGAAGACCTCTCTCCACTGGCTGCTTGTGCACTTGAGCGTCCCATTTAAAGATTTAATTTGTTTTCAAATCTCCAAATAGTCGCGCCCACACATCTCTTAGCTGCTCCATTCCAACACTCCTGGCCAGAGTCTCACGTCAGCTGACCTTGCTCTTTGCTAGTACAGAAGTCCAACTATCCAAATACATTTTAATTGCTATGTGCCCTATGAATAAATTTAGGTGAAGTTGACGAGACTCCTCTTGCTCTGGGTCAGCCTCACCATTCATACACACGGTTGACTGTGCCACTCGACGACTTCCGGCAGCCATGTTTCTCCGGGGATTCACACCGTGTAGTCATGGTAACGCAAACCTGTGCTCATGTTGGCACACCCTGCAGTCGAGGGACAATGGGAATCAGCAGCTGTTTAGGGACTGTGATAAGTCTCCTGTAAATTCTTTATTGTTGTGATCTTTAATCACGGTACTCAGATTTTATTGAAGGACTAATTTAAATTGTGGGAAAGTCCTCTAAGACATGTTTTCCACCTTCTACGCTTGAAATTTGGATAGAATAGTGCATTTCAGTTGCAACGATCTAATTTTCAGTGTGACCTGTCTGCTATATGTTAGCAGTATTTTGCAGCATTACCACCTTGTATGATGCTATGAGATATTTTGACTCGGGGGGGGTTAACCCTCTCTTCGCACAGTAAAACCTACATTTGTGTGGGGGCTTACCACCGAAATGTGAGCTGCTCTGCAAAGCCGAGCGCTTGTTTGAGTATTAGCTGAATCCCATTGCCACCTCTCACTTCCCTGGATTATCGGCTTCCATCTTCTGAAATCCCTGTCTCTCCTCACTAACTCTCAAACTCATCATAGGCTGTGATCTGACACGGGGTTCGGTGATGGTGGTTTGGGGAATGAGGTGCAAGTGTAAAACAGATTGCCAGCCTGAGTTTTTTGTGCACATCTCTGATGAAGAGAGAGAATTAGATTTCTCGGGGTCATATTTCTTCCAGAGTCCACAGATGAAAAGGAGTCGGCATAAAAGGTGCGCTTTTATCTCCGCATTAAAATGAATCCGGCACAAGGGAGACGTTAGCTTGATCAAAGGCTCTCCCTATGGAGCTTGTTCATACGATGGAGTCAGTTTATTATAATAACAAGAAGCCACGACAGTCCCTTTTAGCCTCAGCTTGACTCTTGCGACGCTGTTTGTTCTAGCTCTAAGACCGAAGGCATGATAACTCTCTGCCTCCCTGATGGGAAGGAGAATCTAATTTTATTCTCCCCTCTCGCTTATTCTTTCGTTTATTAATTTGGAACTCCGCAGGTCTAGTAGCCAACGGCTTTAGGATGCTGCTCTCATTTACAAAATGGGGAATAGATGGCCCAGAACTGAACATTGTGTTGGGAAATGTTGCCGTGCTTGGATCAGAATTGCTTTAAACTCTGTCCTGTAGTGTTTTAGTTCTTCACATTAGTCAGAGGAAGACTCATGCCTACGTTTTAAATTGGCACGAGTGCCCCAAAGCTTTGCTCATCTATGTCCTAAGAAGAGCCACACAATGAGCTTGCTCATTTACCAGCTGAAGATAGGTTGTCATTTACCTTCGCCAAGCATGTTGGCAAGAGTTTTGCCTTTGTTAGTTTGCCCTTGTTAGTTCATATTTTTTCAGATTTTTGTTTGGTTTGTTTTTTTGGTATAAACAGCACAGACAAAGACTGAAGGACAAAGTGGACCCGGCAATTTGGAGGCAGGACAATGGTGTATGAGTAAGGGACTGCTGAAAAGGTGGCACAAAATATGAAGTTCAAACGCAACTTAAGAGTTGTTGGAGGTATGCGCCGTCATATGGTTCGTTTTGCGCTGACTGACTTGCAAGTTCAAGCTAAGCTAAGCTAAGAGGGCTGTATGCTGGCAGTGAACTGAACTTGCGTCACAATTAGCACTTGAGCAAATAGTAAACAATTCTTCAAAAGAAGACTTGAAGCTGTTGAGCGCCATTCCCAGTTGATGTTTTCTGTCAAACTAAATAGAAATCAAAGAGAAATACACCTTCTGTACTTAAAACAGAAATAGCTTACCCTTTCAATCTGATAGCTTAATGCTAACGCTTATTCAGCAGAGATGAGCGCATCATCATCAGACACCGGCCCCCTCCCAAAAATCATGTAAACCGTGCTTGACATGGTAAAGCCAACAGCGGAGCATTGTCACATCTTTTTTCCGGTATTTGTTGGGGTACCTTTTAGGATTTGAAACAAAGAGTGTTTGATTGTTTCATGAAATCCCCTTGGGACTTGGAAGAGGGCCTTGGTATTATTTTTCTTTTCAAACACACATTTTTCTACATGTAACAATGACTGGAATCCTTTGCGTTCTTAACCACAGTCTTTCAACTTTGGCAGAGGTCCTGTCTCAACAGTGTGCCTTTTAGTTTGCTGTTTAGGTCACCCCCCTCCCCGAACATTGTCATGCAGTAAACCAGTCGAGCACATCGTGCTGCCCTAATCTGTAGCCTGCTTTCATGTGTGTGTGTGTGTCTATTTTTTTTCTCTCAAGCTGGCAGTTCATCTCCGTCACAAACTCCCTGCAGTGATGTTTCCTCCACATCACTTCATGTAGAACAAATGTGGCATGACAATCTTCTACACGTCGCTGGTGTAAGGTGCATCGCAAGTCACTGTGGGAGTACACTTTATCAGTGCACTCATAGCCCAGGGACCGTCTGTGTGTGCGCGCGCGTGTGTTCGCGTTCGTGCGTGTACGCGTGCTTCTGGATAACCCCACCCACCGAGGGCCGACATGCTAATGGGTTACTGTGTGTTGGCTTGCACTTGTTCTTTTCTGCTTGAATGGGAGCATGAAACATGAAGTGTGCTGTACGGAACATACAAAAAGACAAAATACAATCTTCTGCATATTTCACCCTTTGGCAACCAAATTGGGCTAGTAAAGATGGACCAGGCTGACTATAACCCAACCTTGTCACTTACACTTCAATTCAACTGCTCATCATAAATGTCGACGTCAGCTTTGGTCTATCTGCTGCTGAAAAGAAAGTGTTAATGAGTTTTAAACCGCTACACAAATGCCACTGAAATGAGCTGGACTCTTGAGTTTGTCTGCATTGAAACACACACACAAAAAAGGAAAAAAAAAACATGTTCCGCACTCCGCCGTGTTAATTGGCCCGCAAGCTACTGACTTGCGTATCTGGCAGATTTGTTGCTGATGATGACTGCAAATCCCACTGACAGCACTGCTAGAATCATTTTACAAGCATGACCTGCGTTGGTGGAGGAGTGGGAAAAAAAAAACAAAAAAACAGAGTTACGTTTATTTATTTATTTTTCATTAAAGACGGCATGGTGCTACTGAAGTGAAATGCTGTCAATCGCTAAGATTGAGTAGGATGCTTGTCATTTTTCTCTTTGTTTGGAAACACAGTTTATCATCCAAAATAGAAATGACAAATGGTGGGCGCTAAATTGCTGCTAGCACAAAATGAAGTTTGAAGTGATGGAATCGGAAGAGGCAAACAAACATAAATGAGTTACAGAAAATCGAGAGTGTAAAGAGTAAAACTAAA